TGCGGGCAGCGGCGGGAGCCGCCGCGGCGCTGGGCACGGGGCTGCCACCGCCGCCGGGACGCCTCGCTGCCCCCCCGGCCCGGGACAGCGACTGCCCGCGCCCGGGACTCCCGGGCCCCCTCTCCTGCTCGCTGCCTTCATCCCGCGCCAGCCCTCGGTGCCTCCTCCTCCTCCGGCTGCTCTTTACCGCGGTGGGGCTGACATCCCACCAGTGGGTGTGGGGATGGGGATAATGGGAATGGGACCCCTTGGCGACAGCGTGGATGGGGGGGCAGGGTGGGAGCAGGGTGACAATGAGGGAACACCCAGACACTGCTGGGGACTGAGCCAGGCACAGGAGGTGCAAGGAGCAGGGCACAGGACACCCATCTCATCCTGCACCCATCCCAGCATCCCATCCGCAGCCGGGATGAGAGCCGAGCATCCCGCGCCTCGGTTTCCCTAAAGCCCAAACGATCCCTCGTCCCGGGGCCCCCCCAGCGCCTCCCTCCCCAAGCGCGGGGGGCTGCGAGCTTCCCCCCGCAGTGCCCGGTGCAGGGCCCAGCTCCGCGGCTGCCGCGCGGCCCTGCCGCAGGCCCCGCGCGTCACGTGCACCATTGCTAGGTTACGGGCACCCAAAAATAAATCCCTCCAAACGAGATTAGAAGCACGGGGACCTCGCGTGAACTGGAGCCGCCGCTCCGGAGCGGGAGCAGCTCCCAGCACGGGTGGGCTCAGCTGCCCCACTGGGATGTCGGTGGCAGCAGCACCTCCCACTATCCCACGTGGCCACCTGCTCCGGGCCCATCTCCTGCCCCACAGGGTGCCCGGACACAGGGATGGAGCCGCTGACCATCAGGAGGGAGCAGCTGGGACCCTCCCATCCCATTAACTGGGACCCTCCCTCACCCAGGGGCACAGTGCAAGCTGGGTGCATCCCCTCATCCGGATTGACACCCTCTCCCGGGTGCAAATCCCAAGCTGGGCGCATGCCAGAACGCAGATGCACCCATAAGCTGGGTGCAAACCTTTATCTGGGTGCAAGCTGTAATGTTGATAGCCCCCTCCAGAACCCAAATGCCCCCTCCCCTAACCTGGGTGCAAACCCCAACCTGGGTGTAAACCGTAACCTGGGTGCAAACCCCCACACAGGTGCAAACCCTGGTTGCAAATCCTATCCTGGGTGCAAACCCTGACACCGGTGCAAATCCCGGCACGGGTGCACATCACCCTGTCCCAATTCTGGCCCAGCTGCAGAGGAAATGGAGGCAACGGAGCCTCCGGGAGCCTTTCCTGGCCCGTTCCGGCAGCAGCACCAGCAGCCTCACAGCTCTGTTTCTTCCTGCTCCTGGAATATCCACAGTGCAGCAAAGGCGCCGGCAGCACCCATAGTGGAACAAACTGGGTGCTGGCTGCTCCCYGTGCAGCTCCCGGCTCCAGCCAGGGCAGGGAAACTGAGGCAGCAGCTCTAGTGATAGAGCTGGGAATGTGGGGATGTGGGGATGTGGGGATAGGGGTGGCAGGAGTGGTGGAGCCCAGGGTGCAGGGGCAGAGCTGAATGGAGCAATACAGGGCTATACTGGGCTATACAGGGTTATACTGGGCTATATTGGACTATACAGTGCTATACTGGGCTATATGAGGTACTAGGTGGATGAGAGAGCACTGGAGGACAGACAGGCAGACAGCRATGGACAGACGGCTGCGTGGCCACAAGGGCACCCTGGCACCCATCACGCTGCACCCCAGAAATGTCTCCCCAGCCCCGGGGCACCCCAGCACCCAATGCAGCTGGGGGGAACACGCAGGGGCAGCACAGCTGGGGGGCACATGGGTACCGGGGGGTTGGAGGAGGCCTCTGCCCCCCCGCAATAAAACCTGCTTCATCCCGATGCCTCCAGCTCCTTTTCCTCTAATTTGGGACCCAAAACCCTCACGCAGAAGCTGCAGCTAAAAATACYGGCGCCGAGACCCAGCCGGTTACGTAAGAGCTGGAGCGGCGGGGAGAGGCCGTCGGGCAGCGGGTGACAGCACCCAAGGGTGCCCCGGGTGGGCGAGGGGGGGGCAAGACACTGTGTCCCCCTATCCGGCACCTTGGGGTGGGGATGCGGCCACCCCTGCAGAGCAGGTCGCTGGGGCTGGGCAGGCCCGTGTGTGGGCACGGGGAGGGCAGAGCGGCCGGATTTGGGTGCTGACGTGGGATTTGGGCTGGCGCCCTGGGATTTGGGCTGGTGCCGCCGGCTCGGGGTGCAGCTGGACGGGGGGATTACACAGGGAAGGGGGAGGGGGATAAGGGGTAAAGCAGAGGGGGCAATGACAGATTGGAAGGGGGGTAAGCCCTAGGGGGGATAAAAACAGTGGGGCGCAGGGGGGGTGAATGCAGGGGAATGTAGCAGGGGGATGCACATGGGGGGGGATGCACGGGGGGCACACATGGGGGTTAGTTGCACTGAGAGGGGGCACCCAGGGAGGATGCACATTGGGGGGGGTTGTCCCCATGGTGGTTGCATCTCATG